TCTTTTAAGTAATGTCTACACCCAATGTAGGGCTCAAACTCACAACCTTAAGATAAGAGTCAGATGTGGGGTACCTGGGTGGCTCAGTCATTAAGTGTCTGCCTTCAGCTCAGGTCATGATCCCAGGGTCCTGGGATTGAGCCCCGCATCAGGCTCCCTGCTCTGCCGGAAGCCTGCTTCTCCCTCTCCCACTCCCCCTGCTTGTGTTCCTGCTCTCGCTCTCTCTCTCTGTCAAATAAATAAATAAAATCTTTAAAAAAAAAAAAAAAAAGATGAGTCAGATGCTCTACCAACTGAGCCGGCCAGGTGTTCCCAGAGTGAGACACTTAAAAGAACCCTTTCCACACGGACTTTGGATGCTTTCACCCCTGCCAAAGAGTAAAATCCTAGAATAAAGACAAACTAAACTTGCCACTATCTCACCCTCCGGAGGGGACTGTGGGAGTGTTGCCTTGGAGCTGAACAGAAGGAGGGGAGGAGCTGCAGGGCTGGATGAAAATGAAATCTTTAAGAAGTTGTAAACTTAGGCAGGTACCTCCTGAAAATCTGATCCAAGAAATCTCAAGCAATTCATTTAGTTTAAGGGGGTTCTAAACAAATTGTACTCTCAGGCCTTAGCACAAGCAAAGTCAATCCTCTTTCGAAGAATACAGCTTCATGCCAAGGCTTGGGAAACCCCCACAAATAATTTTCAAAGGCAATGAAGAGTTGTGCAAACATAACACAAAAGGAAATAAAGAAACATGAAAAACACCATCAAAAACAACAGAAGAGATCTATAAAGTCTCCACATACGAGAATTACCAAAAACAGATTATGACCAACATGCTTACTGTTCTCACAGGAATAAAGAGAACAGCTACAGTATGAAGGAAGACAGAGGATATGATTCACAAATCTATACTAGTACACTTGAGAAGTTAAACAAAATGGACAAACTTCTGGGAAAATGTAACTTATCAAAACTGACCTAAGGAAAAATAGACAACTTGGACAGACCTATGACCATTAAAGACACTGAATTCATAATCAAAAATAGAAAACAAAGTAACAAAATTCTCTCTCTTTCTCTTCTCAGGCCCATCAGCTTCCATGGTCAGTTCTACCAATCATTCTAGGAAGAAACATACCAATCTTAAGCAAACACTTCCAGAGCATTACGAGAGAGAAACTATGTGAGAAGCAATACACTGTGACTCCTACTACAAAGCCAACTTAACCTGGATAGCAAAATCTCATACAGGCAGTACAAAGAAGAAAATTTACAAGCTTATTTCTCCCATAAATACAAATGAAAAAAATCCTAAATTATTAATAAACCAAATTTAAAAACATGAAGATACTTCACCATGACAAAGTTGCATTTATCCCAGAAATGCAAAGCTGCTTTAATTGTAAAATACAATGACATGAAGGGATGGAAATAAGACCATATTTATGCACGCCCATCTTTCTGTGTACAAATACAACAAGAAACATTTGAAAGATGTGCAAAAAACTAATAAAAGTGGTCACCAATAGTTGCTGGGGAAGAAACCAGGAGAAAAGGACAAAGGTGAACTAGAGACTTTTGAGACATGTGAACATATTACTGATTTTTAAATTTAAAAAATCAATTAGGGGTGCCTGGGTGGCTCAGTCATTAAGCGTCTGCCTTTGGCTCAGGTCATGATCCCGGGGTCCCGGGATCGAGCCCCGCATCGGGCTCCCTGCTCCGCGGGGAATCTGCTTCTCCCTCTCCCTCTGTCTGCTGCTCCCCCTGCTTGTACTTGCTCTCTGCCTCTCTCTCTCTCTCTCTGTCTAATAAACAGATAAAAATCTTTAAAAAAAAAATCAATTAACATAACTTACCACATTAACCTAGTAAAATCAAATGAACACCCCAATAGATGCAGGAAAACCACTTGACAAAATTCAGTAGCCACTCAATATTAAGAAAAACTCTTGGGGTGCCTGGGCGGCTCAGTCGGTTAAGCGGCTGCCTTCGGCTCAGGTCATGATCCCAGGATCCTGGGATTGAGCCCCGCATGGGGCTCCCTGCTCAGCAGAGAGCCTGCTTCTCCCTTTCCCTCTGCCTGCCACTCTGCCTACTTGTGCTATCTCTGTCAAATAAATAAATAAATATCTAAAAAAAAAAGAAAGAAAGAAAAACTCTTAAGCTAGGATTAAAAGGGAATTTTCCTAATCTGATGAAATATATCTGTGAAAAAAAAAAACAAACTACTATCACACTTATGTGTGAAATGTAAATTATTCATCAATTAGGACAAGACCAGAATACCCACTATCACTTCTGTTCAACATTATATTGGAGGTCCTATCTAAAGTATTAGGGCAAGAAAAAAAACAACACATATAAGGATTAGAAAGAAACAAAAACTGCCCCTCTCTGCAGATAATATGGTCATGTATGTAGAATTAATCTACACATTATTAGAATATTTATGAGAATTTAGCAGACATCTTAACATAAAACTCAATACATAAAAGTTAATCATATTCCTATATACAAACAATTAGAAAACAAAAACTTTAAAATTTTTTACAATACTGTAGAATTTTAAATATCCAGGAATAAATGTCAAAATGATATACAAGATTTTTCAGAAAAAAAATTATAAAACTTTATCATGAGGCAATTTAGACCTAAATATATGAGAAGACTTTATCTTGGAATGCTGTTAATTCTCTACATATTGGTTTATAAACTCAATACAATACAAAAAACATTCTGCAGGCTTTCTTAACACAACTTTATAGTATGCTTCTAGGAAATGTAAAAGGCCAAGACTGGCTGAGACACTCTTCTAGAAGAACAAAGTGGAAGGACTTGCTCTACCAGATATTAAGACATGTTACAAAGCTATGGTAACTAAGAAACATGTTTTTCACACAGAGATACACTAACAGGTTAATGGTAGAGAACAGAAGACCCAAGAAACATATTCACAGGCATATGGACAGGTGGCACAGTAGATCCATGTAGAAAAGACAGGCTTGTCAATAAATGCTGCTAGAGCAACTGGCTACCTGCAAGAGGAAAAAATGAAATTGAGCTCCTATTTCCACTATGGGAAAAGCAATACTAAGTGGAACAAGACACGAAAAGCACTAACAATAAAGGCAATTATTGATAAATTCTACTATATTAAAATGAAGAGCTTCTACTCAAGGCACAATTTTAAAAAACAGACTAGAAGATATCTGCAACCCACTGAAACAACAAAGAAGTCAGAATACGTTTCTATAAATTAATGAGAAAAAGACAACCTAACAGAAAAATGAACAAAAAAACCTCAATGGGGCACTTCACAAAAGGAGAGATAACAAAAGACACACAAAGTCCTCAGTAACTAGAGGAATGCAAATTTAAACCACAAGAAGATACGATACATGTCCACAAAATTGACAAAAATTTTAAATTCTCTAATAGCAAGTGCTGGTGATGATACAGAATAACAGGAACTCTCACACGCTCTTCATGGCAATGCAAACTGGTACAACCACTTTGGAAAATAGTTGGCAAAATCTGGTGCTATTTAAGATATGCACAGTCTGTGACCCAACAATCTCAATCCTAGGTTTACATTCCATTTCATGAACAAGAATGTCTATACCAACATTGTTTATAATAAGAGAAACCTCAGAATCTGGAAATCGGATGTTCATCACTGATAGAAGAGGTAACTTGTGGCATAGTCAAAAAATGGAATTCTACACAACAATGAAAATGAACAAACCACAGCTCCCACTGGATGAATCTCACAAACACAATGCTGAAAAAATGAAGCAAAACCCAAAAGAATGCACAATATGACACTAACTGTGTCAAGCTCAAATAAGTTTAGGAATGCATACGTATGTGATAAACTATAAAGATAAGCAAGGAAATATCACCACAGGAGTCCAGAAAATGGTTACCTATGGGGAAGGGAAATGGTTATAATTGGAAAGGACAGAGGTCTTCAATATTGACTAATAAGACTAATCTTCTTCGTCTTAATCTGGGTAGAGGTTACATCAGAATTTGCTTTATAATTTTTTGTTAGACTGTGTGTACGTTTTTATCTACTTTGTGTATTTTACAATAAAAAAAAGGAAAATTTCAACACAGGAGATTTTCATTAACAAAGTATTTGTTATCCCAGTGCAAGTAATTGCAAGGTTGCTTAGGGAAACAAAATCGTCATAACATGACAACATTGACTAATGAACTGGTCACTCTGCTCAAACTTTCCTCCCTGGTTAACTCCAGCAATTTCTCTGACTATAAAGATCCACAATGTAAATAAAAGGCAAATCGTTTAAAAATATGTTGGCCCAAAAAAGATTTATTAATGTCTACAACTTTCCAAACACTGTTCTAGGGGATCAGCAAGGTCCAAGATAGATAAAGGTCCTGCCCTCCTGCCAAAGATGGAGGACACAGGAACCCCCATTCCAAGTTTGTCTCCAACCTCTCATCCTCCTTTCCCAAATAATTATCACACATGAAGAACCTGAACAAAATTGGGGGCACATATGACCTTAACACAGAAACCACCACCTGTCAGGGGGTCTCTTCACTACAGAGGAACCATCTGCTTGGGTTCATCTGGCTGAAGCACGGTTTCCCATATTCTCAAGTACGCAAAGAGACTGCCTTACCAAGTCAAGGCACTAGTCTCAACAATGGCGATGCTGTGGGACTTGGCTTATATGGGGTCAAAACTCCCAAGGAATCCTTTAACTCGGATCCAGAGACCAGAGGCTCGCAATTTTCCAGAAACTGTACACTAGGTTTCATGTGTACATATATTTCCCATCGGGTCAGAGTCCAGAACTTTCAACTGATTCTCGAAGTTCAACCAAAAAGAGGGTATAAGCACTGCCCTCACTAAGTTGAACAGACTAGCCTTTTAAGGTCACGGTGAAGGCGAATGGGGCCACAACTAGGCCACCTGAGTTGAAACCCAGGTGTCCAGACCTCCAGGCCTATGCTCCGAATGCCCAATACTTACTCTTAGTTCTTCGAAGGCTTCGTCTAGGGTGGAGAGCTGGTGGCCCTGGTGAGTCCCGATGACAGGGCACAGGACACAGATGAGTTGCTTATCTTCCTGGCAATAGGTGCTCAAATCGAGCCCATGGTCCGGACACTTCCTCTTGGCCACTCTCTCTGCTTCCATTTCTATTTCTGGGTCAAATTCACTTTCCGCCTCCGTTTCTCCCTCAGCCTCAGATTCTCCTTCTTGGTTGTCTTCCTCCGCTTCGCTCTCTTGCTCATCCTCCATTTCTTCCTCACTGTCCTCTTCACTCTCTTCATCGCTCTCATCCTCGCTCTCTTCCTCCGTCTCGCTCTCTTCTTCGGATTCACTGTCTTCCTCGGACTCGCTCTCCTCCCCCACCTCGCTCTCTAGGTCCCGCTCATTCTCCACCTTGGCCTCGGCTTCTTCCTTGGCGTCGCCCTGCCCCGGGGCTCCGGCGGTCCAGGCCTGGGCGGCGCCGTGGACGTACTGGGCCAGGTGGTGGCTGGGGAACTTCTGCCTGTGCGCCTCGGCGTGGCGGTGGCAGTAGCAGAAGGCGCACTCTCGGCACACTTCCTCGGCCCCCGGAGCCTCGTCGGGCTCGCACTCGTCACACGTGCCGTCGTGCGGCAGCTCCTCGAAGGCCGCGCCCACTCCGGAGGCCATGTGGCTGCGGTGACGCGGCCCAGGCCGCTGGCCCTGGAGGAGCTCGCCGCCGGGCTTCCGCGCGGCCTCCTCCCTACTTCCTCCCCGCCCGGGTCCCGTCCCGGGCACTGGCCGCGCCGGGTCTCAGGGCAGGCTTGGGGCCGCGGCGCCGCTGCCGCCTGCTCCCGCCAGCCCCTGCCCGGCCGAGGAGCGAGGGGCCTTCCCGCCGGCTCGGCCGCTCGGCTCCCGCTGCGCTTCCTCCGGCGGCACGGGCACTTCCGGCGCGGCGGCCCCGCGCCCCCGTCGGCCCCCGCGCCGCGCGCCGCCCTGCTTCGCGCTGCCCCCGACGAGATCGCCGCGCCGCTGGCCCCGCCGCCCCGGTTCCGCTTTCCCTTTCCCTGTCAACGGCCTCCTTTCACTTCCTGAGTCATTTAAAGTGGCAAGAGCCCTTTTCCGCGTTCCCCGGGGGTTGGGAGGGGGTGTGGGGGAGGGGGCGCTCGGCCGCCCCGGAAGGAGGGGGAGGATGGAGGAGGTCTCCCGCTCGCTCCGGAGGCGGGGTCAAATTCTCCCACGGCCCTGGAAGGCGTCAACCTGACTTTTCAAGGCCGCTAGGCAGGTGTACGTGTGCATTTCAGTCTCGGTCCTTCCAGTTCGTCGCCGCCCGTCCCAGTCCCCACCGCCAGGTGTTCTGCAAGGTGCCAGGACTGAGTGGTTTTTGTTTTTGTTTTTGTTTTTGTTTTTGTTTTTACCAGACTGAACCTGATCGCTTGGGATTTTCAGAGGGCCCCGGGAAGGGTTGTGTTTGTTCTCCCAGGCTCAGGGAATTTCAGAGTCAGGCTCTGCAAACAGACATTTTCGATCCAAAGCAATACTACACTTTGTCTGTTTGCAAAGTCTATTTGCATTCCTGCTGCTTAGGGGCTTGGAATCTCTAGGGTGGCAACTTCTGCCTTTTTCTGAGTGCTTGCCTTGGGTTCCTCTGAGGAGATGTCAGGTGAAGTAGGTGGGGAGAGAGGATTTGTCCAGTCATTTTCCTTTATGTAAGGAGACCACCTAGATCCAGATTGGGTTCCGAAAGAAATGAAAGGGACTGTTATTTATTAACCAATACCGAAGTGCCCAGAATCAGGCCAGATCTTTTTGTGGCATTTTAAAAGCTGGTTTTGGAAGATCCACTGTTAAGGGTTCCCAAATCCTGGTACCACAACTTAATTGGCTTTGTGACCATGGAGACGTTAATTGATAATTCTGTTTTCCACTTTTTAAAAAGATACGTAAAATGGAAATAATGGTAATATCTATCTGATGGGGCTCCTTTGTGGATGAAATGTAAAGGTGCCTGTCTTCTGGAAGTATTCACTAGATTGTAATTATTATTATTGGCACAAATTATATTTAGTGCATATAATGACCCTTTGAAGGAAGTTTTAAACATTTTTTAAAAGATGTATTTAAGTAATTTCTACACCCAGCGTCAGGCTCAAACTCACCACCCCGAGATCAAGAGTTGCAGGCTCCATCACTGAGCCAGCCAGGCACCCCTAAACTTAATTTTTAACACATTAGGCGTTTTTGGCTGGCTGCTGGTAGTATAAGCAACGCCTAAATCCACCCCATATCTTTTGTGTTTGTATTTAGGAGCTTTTGTTTTGTATTTAGGAGAGGAAAAGGACATTTTGATCTAGTCCAGGGAGAGGCTGAGGTGTGGTTGAGCAGATGGAGGGGAATGGAGTAGTATCTGTTTTCCATTGATTCCCCTTAGGTAATTTTGAGCTAGCATTTCCCTATGATTTTCCCAAAAATGCTAGGGCATGGGGTAGGACAAAAATCATTTGAAATAATTCTCATTGTCTCCACACATATAATGTATGCTTAATCCGTGTGAGGCTTTTGTCAAAGATTTATGTTTTTGAAATCTTGTTTTTTTTAACCTCAGAACAATTCTGTAGAATGTTGGGGTGTTGGGCGGGGGGGTGGGGTGGAATCAGAAGGTTTGTTTTGTTCCAATTCCATATACGTTTGTATTTTCTCCAGTTCATTTCTTTGGAAATTATTTCTATATCTGCATTTGAAACAGGGATTGATGCACCATTCTGGAAAAAAAAATTCAACAAATGTCAACTCAAATATCAACATTAATATACCTAGTGAATAGTGAGTGTTTCTTGCTTGGTTATTTCCACCACCCCAGGCTTAAAAGGAAATAACAGGTGATACGAACATAATGTTATCACATTTAGAAAATATTTTTTCAATGAAAACAATTTTTTAATGTCTTAAAAGAAGATTTTTATGTCCAGGGTGTTTGGTGGGGAGGGACAGATGTCTTTTTATTGTCATGTTGTTGTTGTTGTTTGTTCTTAGTTTTATCTGACAGAAAGTGAAAAGATCGTACTGTGCTGTTCAGTATCTAACACTTCACAATCTTTCTTTGAATCCTCTATGGTAAGATGATCTTAGGGGCAGAAGTTGATGGAACTGTTAAAAAGGGACTTCATAAAATTCTGTCAGTGAGGTATGGCAGACTCAGACAGAACTTCTGTACCCCTCTGCACAGAAATCAGAATGGTATGATTCCCCAGGAATCTTTGGGAGCATCCAGAGATAGAAACTTTGTTATACTAATCTATTATCGCATAAAAAATTACCTCAAAAAGTAGCAGCTTAAAGCAATAAACATTTATTATCTCACACAATTTCTGTAAGCCAGGAATATAGGAGTGGCTTAGGTAGGTGGTCTAACTCCTGATCTCTTAAGAGATTCCAGTGAAGATGTTACGTGGGGCTATATTCACCTAAAGGCTTAACGAGAAAAGTAAGATTTGCTTTCAAGATGGCTCACTTACATGGCTATTGGCAGGAAGCCTTACCACTTTCTCTTGGGCTGCTTGAGCATCCTCATGACAGGGCAGTTGAATTCTCCCAAAGCTAGTGATGATCCAAGAGAGGGCAAGGTAGAAGATACAATGTCTTTTATGGCCTAAGCTCAGAAGTCACACATCATCAGTTCCAACATAGTCTATTAGTTACAGAGATCAGCCCTATTCATTGTGGGAGGATACTACACAAGGGCATGAATATCAAGAGGCAGGGATCTTTAGAACCATCTTTGATGCTGGCTACCATAGTCTGCCCTTTGGTCTCTAATGATTCACATCTCTCTCAAATGCAGTATATGTTTACTTCCTCCCAAGATCCCCTAAAATCTCAACCCATTACATCATCAGCTCAAAGTCCAGAATTTTGTTATTTAAATCAGGTGAAGCTGTAGATGAAGCTTCTGGTGTCTTAAAGGAAGCTCCTAAAGTATATAGTTCCTCTTCATCTGAATAATTATGTTCCTGCATCCAACTTACGATGGTGGGGCAGGCTTAGGATAACTGGTACAGACACTCCTGTTCAAAAAGGAGAAAAGATAGGAGACACAAAGGAGTCGCTGGTCCATAGGAAACCTGAAATCCAGTTGCACAGGTTAGAAATTCCTTGATTAGGGCTCAGTCCTACTCATGCCAGGAAATGGTTCTCCATGGCTTTTGATTTTACCCTTTGGGCTCTTGATTCCACTCTCTGAGTCATCCTTCCTTTTCTATGAAAAGTAGCCCATATTTGCAGCTATGTAATTTATCAGTCCACTTCCTGCTAGTAGAATTTAGGGGGTTGAAAGGCTCCTTTTCATTTTGTACTGTCTCTGTCCCCTTTAGTCCACACTGGCAGTGTTTCTCCCAATACAAATCTTTTAAATTTTTTTTTGTTTTTTAAAGATTTTTTATTTATTTACTTGAGAGAGAGAGAGAATGAGAGATAGAGAGCACGAGAGGGAAGAGGGTCAGAGGGAGAAGCAGACTCCCCACCGAGCAGGGAGCCCGATGTGGGACTCGATCCCGAGACTCCAGGATCATGACCTGAGCCGAAGGCAGTCACTTAACCAACTGAGCCACCCAGGCGTCCTCTTTTAAAGTTTTGTGAGTCTCCTATGACTGTAATTGAGCCACCACTCCATTGCTCAGAAGCCATACCCACAGATCTCTCTGGGATAAGCCCTTTTCTACTCTGAAGAGTCCCTCTGCAGAAGCTGCTAAGGCACTACACATCAGCTTCTTTGAATCCCTGTTGTTTGTCTGAATGATCCCCTGAATCTCTGCTGTAGGTCTTTTTAAGGTCTGAACAAAGGGTTTTATAGCTACACTCTTAGCTTCATCATTTGACGATGTGCTCCTTGCAGGATCCTAGAGTTTATTTTTGACTGGAAACCATTTCCTCATTTTAACATTATTCCTCATCTAGAGAAGATGAGAATTTTCAAGTCTAGCAAGTTCTGGATTTTTCTTTTTAGTCCTTCTCTAGATTTTCTCTTTCTTCTCACATTTTGCTGTAATAAGGAAGAAGACATCGGTCAGCACCTTCAACACTCTACCTGGAAATGTACTTAGCTAGAACATTCAATTAATTAGACACATTTTCTACCTTCCACATTCCTACAGGTGACAGTGTTGCTAAACTTCCTGCTCCTACATTACAGGGACCTCTTTGCTCCTGTTTTCAATAACATTTTCCTTATTTCCCCTTACCCCTTCATCTACAGCTTTCTTGAAAGCCATCAGGATTGTCCTCACGGTTTCTTCAAGACTTTTCATGCTTTCACTAACACTCTCCCCCAAGTCCTTCCAGCTTCTCCCACTGCCCAGTTCCAAAGCCACTCCAACGTTTTAGGTTTCTGTTACAGAAGCACCTCACTCTTCATAATAAAATATGTATTCATTGTAAACTCGTGTATAATAAATTACCCCAGAACTTTGAATCATTTTGGGGGCTGTGTTACTGGCATTGGTGCTATCCTGCCATTGTGGTTCTCAATAGCTGGAAGGCATCTCCAAGATGCTCCTGCGGAGAACAGGGCAGCTTGCATTTGATACTGGCCAGGGAGAGTGTGTGGGACTTGTAGAAATAAGTGTTGTATTCAAAAAAAAAAAAAAAATGAGGGGGTCTGTTAATTTATGTGGGTGATAGCTCTTCAATTATTAGACATTTAAACTCTATACACAGGTGGAAACTTATTTGTAGAGAGGCAAAGAAACTTGTTAAACGCTACCCAAACCAAAGGTGGCCTAGTTGGGATTCGAACTCAGATCTGTCTCGCTCCATCTTACCATATTCGCCTGTGGTGTAAATAGGTGGCAACTGTTGCCCAGTAACCTTACCTGGCTTTCCCTTCCAGCTGTGAAATCAGGTTCTATCTCCTCTATCCCAAAGGGATGAGCTGGGCTTAGAAGATTCATAACATAGTACATTTAAT